TGGCTGCTTTCCATATAATCAGCCAATATATCCTTCTGGGCTAGCTGAGGATTGAAAGTGGGCCAAAGGGCTGGTTCCAGTTAGTACCACAGAGCTAGATTTTCTCCCTCTGGCTGTTTGACATCTAATGAAACTCCTGTCATCCACCGGCATGGGGTGAGGTATCAACAATGTGCAGATGATACTCAACCATAGATCTCTACTCTTAGCCAGGCAATGTGGTAGAATTCCTGACCCATTGTCTGTAGGTTGTTAGGGCCTAGATGGGGAGATACAGACTCAGGCTTACTATCCTTCTGGACTTGCAACTCCTGCTTCAATTGCAGGTAGAGGCCATCGCCAGAAGGACCTTTGCACAATTATATCTTGTGTGACAGTGCGGTCATTGCTGGCTCAGGAGATTTTGCTTATGGCCTTGTCATCTTGCATACGGATTGTGTTTCACACAGAGCTATGGGGTACCTTGAAGACCATTCAGAACCTTCAGCTGGTTCTACATGTAATGGCCCAGGTATAGTTATGGGTACTTTTAGTAATACTGCTACTATAATTGTTAGTTGCAATTCAAGGTGTTGGTGCAGAGGAGCAGATATAGCCTTGAGGAAAACATGCAGCAGTTGTTAGAAAGCATCAGTTTAGCCTGGAAAGAGAGGGTGAAAAAGAAACTCAAGATTGACCTACTTGTACTGTCATGGGTATAAGAGGGAGGGAGGGGGAAACTCTGTCAGGCTCTCAAGATTTGGTTATTATAGTTGATATCAATAGAGTTCTAGCTGAGCCCATCTGACTTAGTGGCTCCAAGTTAGAAAGCAGGAAACTGTGAGTTCTAGTCCAGCCTTAGGCATGAAAGCCAGCTGGGTGACTTTGGGCCAGTCATTCTCTCTTAGCCCACGATGTCAGTCAACAAGCTGGTCAGTCAATTCCTGTTGCAACCAGTGGATCAACATTCGGTTGATTTCCCCCCCACCCCCAAAAAAATAACGTGGGAAAAATGCTGAAAAGAAAAAAAAAAAATCAATAGCGTTCTAGTATGTCTTGTGGTGTTTGTTTCCTGACTTGGTCTATCTCAAAAGGCTGAGAGTGAGTTAAAGCCCTGGATGTCTCAGGGCCTGGCTATCTCAAAGAATGTCTGCTTAGGGTTGATTCCGCCATACAGAAAATCAGAGAGAGAAGACTGTCATCTGCAGGGATCCCATAGTCCAGCTTTTTTGGTGAAGACCTCCTCCTTTGTAACAGGGTAACCTGAATATCTGGACTATCCCCTCTTTGTTATGATTCTGAAGAGTTGTAGGAACATGGCTGTTGAGGATGGTTGAGGATTCTTCTACCTCTGAAAAGTAGAGCGTTGGGTTGGGTTGGGTTAGTTTGAGCATTATTGTTGTCATTTAGTGGTTTTTAGATTTTCTTCTTGGTTTCTTGAGCTCGTTGTTAGCTGCTCAGAATTACTGCAACCGGAGTAGTGTACAAGTTGGAATAATCAACATTTGATGGCAAGTTTTTAAGGACAATGCTTTGGGGGGAGCTGAAACTGTGCTTCTTCTGCCTGACGACGGAAATAGGCAACCAAGGGCCATCCAAATGGTGAGGGACTGCGGGATGTGTTGCTTAGCTGACCTAGGGACTTGTGGGTACTGTCCGTGGATGAACAGGGGTTGAAACCAGCCAGGCTGATGAAAGCAGCATTGCACCATTGCAGTGCGTGCCGTCATGTTTTGCACACATTTGCACACGTTGCATGAATGTCCCAAAGAGGTGAAGCTTGTTGTATGGCGCTGCTTAAAGCAGATGGAGATCTGGAAGCGCCTGGGCAGAACACAACTGTTGGAGCTGCTGCTCCCCTCTCCTTCCAGCAGAATCTCCTAGAAGAAGGCTGAAGCCACACACTGCAGCTTTCCTGCTCTTTCTGTGGAGGTCAGTGGAAGGGAGGACGCTGTGTGCTATCCTGGCAAACGAGAGATGATCCCAGAGAGGGAGACATTTCCAACTCAATCGAGGCTGCTTGTCTCAGCAAGTGGCAGGGTCTTGCTGACTTTGGAAGCTAAGCGGTGTCAAGGCTGGGTTAGTTTTTAGATGGGAGACCACCAGGAAATTCTACAGTGTTAAGTTAGACCGGGAATTTGAAAATGCATTCTGGATGAGGCAATGGCCAAGAAAAGCAGCCAAGTTTCTACTCCAAGTCTCTAGGAGTCAACCCTGACTTGAAAGAAACTTTTTAAAGGAGTCTGGCTCAGTATCTGAGAGCTATCAGTGTTCTGCTGTTTTTCCTCTCTCGTACTTCACAGTGTAGCAGTTCCAGAACTCCCTGTTGAGTGTTCTCTTTTATGAAACAATCTGTTTACTATGCAAAATGAGCATTGCTAGAGGCAAATTACAATTATTACAAGATTAACACTTGTGGGGGGAAAAAAGCTTGCCAAGAGTATTGAAATGTATCAGATGTAGAGATTTCAATGCAAAATACAGAAGCATCTACTAGTTGCAGATAGCAGCAGACAAACTTCTGATGAGAAGGCAGTTGGCAGTATATATCCTCGAAATACAACAGCATCACAACTGAAAACCACACGTGCCTAAAGATAACCCAAGTGTCTCATTCATTTCCCACTGAATAGCAGTGGTAGAGAAACCCTGACTTTTCCTAGATGTGCATCAGGAAAGAGAATTCCTACTGACTTGGGTCTTATTTTGTGCTAAAAATGGGGGGGGGGGGGAGAGATTGTGAATGGCTCAAGAACCTGCCCAGGTTCCCCAAGGGATCTCCTGTTAACACTGCAGCCTAGAGTTGATGGGTCACCTTTTTTGGGGTAGTGGGAGCCCTGGCTGGGGAGGACCTGGGAAGGAGGGGGTATTCCTAGTGCTGCAGAAAGACAACTATCTTGGGAGGCCTCCAGAGAAAATGCTTGTCTACTCCAGCAAAGAAGGTCCTTGTAGGAAACGCACTCTTTTCTCAAAATGGTTGATTTTAAAGATGTTAATAAATTACAGTGGAAATGCACGGAAAGGTTTAAAAAGGGGGGAAACTCCTCTTGAGCGACATTTGACGCCCTGCATCTACACAGGTGCCCCTGTGCAGCTTCCTTGGAAACAATCCATCCAGAGTTGGCTTCTCTCTGGTTGCTTCAAGGACGCGAATTCAGTTGTTAACCTCCCAATCTAACCTATAACTTCCTGCAAGTGTCCCATCCAAGCAGTCCTCAGCCCAATCCTGTTTTGAGATTGGGCAAGATGGTTGCCACCCAGCTGGGCACAAAGTAGAGAGAGCACCGTTTCCTGACCCCTCAAACAATTCCACGCATTTCTGCTGTGTTCCTCTAACAGAACCCTTTTCTGAAAGCAAAGCTGAAATTAGATGAATAAAAATAGGAAGACCAATTGTGTCAAGTATATCTATTTTAAATCAAGAAACATGCCTTTTCTATATATTAAATGCACGCAGATGGAAGTTGGGGTATTCCTCTCCTGGCTTGCCTCCACCCCTCTTTGTGCTTGGAAGATAGTTCATCTGTTCCTGAGAAAGATTTCTAAATTTAAAAACCCACTGACACTGTACATTGCTTGTAATTTACAAGTTAAAAATTTCCCAACAGTCCCTGCTTAGTTTTTATTTTTGGTGAGATAGGAAAGAGTTGTCTTTTGAGACAGGGATGGTGCAAATGGTTTCAAGATAAATGCAGCCCCATCATCCTCTCTTTACTTTCAAATAATAGGCTCTCTCCTTTTTTTTTTTGCCTCTCTCTCTCAAGTCAGAGAGAACAGCTTTCTTGTTTGAGCTTCTAATGATCCAGTCTCCTATTTGGAAACCCTTGTTCCACGTAGGAATTCAGTTCTGGTTCAAGGCCACTGAGATGCTTCAATTTTTGTTTCACTTCTGGGTGGGGGAGATTTGATTACTTATGTATCATGCCAAGGAAAAGGATCTGCACGGCTGCTTCCCAGAGATGCCAAAGTTTCTTTTGGATAAAGTCATGGTACGAGCAGCTCCATATAATAATTGTTTTTTTGGGGGGGGGGTCTTCAAGTCAATCTTGACTCCTGGCAACTACATAGAAAATCCATGCAGGCAACATTTTCAGAAGGGGTTTTCATGGGCCTCTTCCTAGGGTTGAGAGAGAAGGATGGCCCCAAACTTATCTGCTGGCTTCCATACCTAAGGCAGGACTAGATCTCAGGTTTTCACGCTCCTAGTTCAGTGCCTTAACCACTATACCCAACTGCATCTCTTTACTTATAACAACATTGCATCAAATAGTAATATTGCATCAAACGGCAATACTGCATGAACAGATATACAGTAATACCTCGATTCATGAACGCTTGTGTTTACGAACAATTCGGTTTGCGAACAGAGCGTTTGCAAATTTTTGCTTCCGTTCGCAAATTCCGCATCAGGTGACGAACACAACCCGCTGCCATCTTCCCTGCTCTGACACGTGGTCGTGGCTTCCTCTAGGCAAGATTGCAGTCGCAGACAGCAGCTGTGAAGCTTTTTGGTGTCGCTTTAAGATTAGTGTTCTCTCTCTTCATACTGTACTGTACTGTACATTGTTTCATATTTTTGTGGTTAAAAAAAAATACATATGGTTCAGAATGGATTAACTGTATTTACATTGAACCTTATGGAGAAATTTGATTC